GGGAAGGGGAGTCCTGAGAACATATAACAGACTAATTTTTGTCCTGTTTCTGCAAACTGTCTCTTACTTTTGTGCTGTGTTGTGCAATTGTTATTCAGCTGAAACTTCCAGTGTCTGGTGTCATCTAAACTCACAGTAATAAAGTCAGGTGATAAAAAAAAATAATATTGTGAAGCTGAAGGGAAAGTTGGTTGTGAAATGATACTGAGAATAGACACCCTCTTCCAAACTGGATCTTCTTGCCAGCTGTGGGCAAAATATGTACCAGGTAGCAAAACCAACCTCAGCAAACCATTACTAAAAAGGTAGAATGGTTTTACATCTTTTATGGACTCATTTGTGCATATTTTGGGGCTTCCTGTAATTTGACAGGCTACTTTGTAATACATTAATAAGAAAATAAATAAACAAAATGTTAAAACAAAAGTCACATGGAGTAGAGGGGCACAATTGCTAAATGGCATAAAGCATCTTCCCTTGGCACTTTTCCAGTTCCCATAGCCTTTAACTGTGACTTGTTGAAATGTCCCATTACAAGCACAGCAGCATGTGAACTGCAGGACATCAGTTACTTTTTCCCTGGGCTTTTGATATGTCAGGATTTTTAGTTTTATTACTATTCATATATTCCCTGAAAACGAAACCACTTTGTTGTTTCTAAACCAGAATCTGTCCCCTTAATAGTTTATGAATAAGTTACTGTTTTGAGTTCTGAATGTGGAACTTCATGTATACGCCTTGAACATAGGCATTAAAAAAGTACATATTTTTAATTCCACATGAATATTTGCTAATTCTGTTAGTCATCTTTCTGACCTGTATGCGTGCAAATCACAGAGAATTGACAGAGGATAAATGTCATCTAATAAAAAAGAAATCTGCAAAAATGCATATTTAATAGGAGTAGGGTTATTAAATAAACTCTTTCAAGAACTGTTCTGTTCGTAAGTTTATAGAACTGCTTGTATAGCTAACCATTTGTGTTGGTTTTTTTCTTGAGTTTGACTGTACTTGATTACAAATGATTGGCTTTTTTACTTACACATGGAGTGCATGTATTCATTGCATTCACATAGGGAACCAACTTGGACAAATGGGAAAAAAACCTGGTTAAATAAGTTAAATGGTTGCCATGCATAAAACAAGCAAACAGAAAGTGAAAAAGCTTTGGCTGTGAAGGCGGCCTTGGATGGCCTAGAATCTTGGGTTCATGTTGCTATGGCAAAACAACACAAAGGGACAGATCCTACTGGCTTCACTCAAGTATCCCCATTCACTTTGTTAGGACTTGTGATGTGACTTAGAGGAGGATTTTTGGCTGGCTTTGGCAGAGAAGTGTTTGTTAGCAGTGTTGTAGAGAGCTGTGCTGCTTCTGGCACCATACATGGGAGGAGGGAACTACCAGAGTCCAGGTAGATAAGGAGGAGAGGAAGTGGAAGTTGTTCTTCAGGCAGTAAAGGAAAAGGTTGGACAACGAGGAGGATAGAGTTAAGGCAAGGGAAGAATTTGTATGGGAAAGGTAGGTGCTGATTAATGAAACAGATGGTGACTATTGGGGAAGAGGGTTAGAGGAACAGAAATAAAAGGGGAAAATAAAACAAAAAGATTCTAATTCAGCAATAAATGTGGCACTGATTTCAAGAAGAATAATGTGTAATAGGTACTTGGCCAGAAATACAGAAATAGGCTGAGTAGGAAAGTGCTTAAATGTCCTGAAGACAGAGCTTAATCCTAAGGTGTACAGTGGGTCATTTTCATTTGTAGTTCTTCAAGCACTTTAGAGCAGAGTCCAATCCCCTTTTTGGAGAGCAGTAGGCAGGTGTGGGGGTGGATACATTTCTACTGGTGTCAGAGCAGTGCAGAATGTGATTTCTTAGTAACAAGCCATCCGTAGACCTCAGAGCCTTATGGCCTGAGAGTGTGTGTCAGTGAGGGCTGGGATGTGCCTAGGGAAAGCTGCTTTTTTAAGAGTAAGCAGCATGCTACTCACCTGTGAATTCTTTGGTCGTCTTGTAGTACTGAAGGTGACGTTTTAGTTCAAAGAATAGCTTTAAAAAATCCACAGAAGGCTGGGATTCTGAGGATGATGAGTAGCAGATTTTTATGAAAAAAATTATTTTGATTAGTGAAAGGCAGAGAGATACAGTAGTGTACTCAAGTGATCTGTGTTTTGTGCTTACTGCTGCTGACTCTAGCAAATGCAGATTCCTATAAATACCACTGAGTTAAGGAGCATCTTTTGTCCTCTAGCTTAGCATAACAATGTTATCTGTTCTTCTGTTCAGCCGCATTTTGGTCCTCCCAAAGCATCATGCTTTTCACTGTTTTCTAGCTAAGCTTTATGCATCAAAATTCTCATGGACATCAGAGGCTCCTCATTTAAACCAAATTAAAACCTCATGCTGTCTTCTCTACTTGTCCTCATGTACTTCATAATGTGTTTTCCCCATTTCCATTCCCCCAGTCTTCCTTTTAACCTAATAAAATCTAGTGGTAGTAAGATTCTTCCTATGTCCCCAGCAGTGCTCCTTCCCCATTGCATCTGCAAACTGATATTTCTCAACGAAACAGGCTCTTTGTGCTTTTTGGACCATTGCTTTTACCAGTGGCCTTTACAACAGCAAACTTCAGTGAAAATGGCCCCAGCAAACAGCACCTCTTAGTCTTCTATGGCTCTGGCTGCAGATGTCTTCTTTTACCAGCCTTCCTTGTAGCTGGTAGTATAAAGCATGAAACCACTGTTTAGTAAACCCAAAGCTCTGATGTTGTCTTCTCTTCCTCTTCCTCATTGGGATTTTTTGGTTATACTATTAATATGCCCTTTTGTGATCTCCGTTACAAAAATAGCCATGCAGATATACCCCAAAGGAAAAGATGATTCTCTCGGAAATTTCTTTTTAATCTCAAGTTGACTAGCAGTTGTGTTTACTTCTTGGATAAATAGTTTAGGTTCCTTATCCCTTTGCACAGCTTTCTTCTCTTATTTCAAAGGAAATGTTTCCCTATTTTGTGGACTGCCTCAGCTTTTCCTATTTCACAGGTTTCACGTATTCTTTTAGTGACAGCAGGTTTCATATTGAAGCAAAATCCAGGAGATTTTGCACCACAACTGAATTTTTCACACCTTTTTTTTTTTTTTTTTAATTTGTTTCTCTTTGGTATAGTCAGATGGTCAGTTAGTAGTAGCTTTGTAGCTGACTCCTGTCACAGGTGAGGATGATCAGATTTTGCAAAATACTGACAAATTGCCTCCTTAATAGGTTTATTCTTAAGTGAGTTATTGGTATCAATTTTGTCTATCTTTTGACTTGGGTTGCAGCTGTGTAGCTGACTGCTTGGATATCAGTCATCCTAAAGTCATGAGACTCACTGTCAGTTTGTCACCTTTTCACATGGCTTGATATCTGCCCTCCTTTTGAAGTTTGTGAGTGCACATCTTCAAGCAAGTGAGCTCAGTCTTCAGAAAGTTCTTCTGAATTTTCATATACTGCCTGCTCTGAGTTATACCTTGTAAATGTTACTGGTCAGTGGATTCAGTAGGAATCAAATCACTCATACTGATGGAAATGTGTATGTATTCTCTTTCCCTTTTAAATTACTGTTCCCAAATCAAAGTTGAATTGAAACTTGACATTTTAACACATTTAGGTGGTCAGGCCAGAATGGGATTCTGAGCGGCATTGCTTTCTCTCCCGTTCTTTCCCTGTGTTCACTATTTCTGCACAACTCTGTGCCTTAAAGAAGACATGAGAGGTTTCTGCTGATGGGAGCATGATCTAAGCAATGTCCCTGCTGAATAACCCATGGAGAAATGCTGCAGAGGAGTTCCTGGTGTTTTCCTCGTAGCCCTGGGAGTGCAGGTCTAGGTGCAGGTTTTTGTTGTGCAGACTTTCGATGGTGCGCAACGTGGCACACGCTGTATAATGGAGCCCAGCCTTTTGTCTTTGTACTTCATTCCATTTTAATGTCAGCTAGAATTGTTTATATGCTATTCATGTTGCCACAGTTTAGATGCTTTTAGTCCTGACTCAGCATTTTTCTATCACCTAGAGCTGTGATGGTGGTTTGTAGTTGCTTGTGTTGCTTTATGATGAGTGTTAGTGGTTGCCAAGGCACCATCTGTCATCTTCTGCTCCAGAAGGCTGGTAGTGAAATAAAGTAGATAAGATTTTTTTATTTGACTGAACACAATACCAACATTCTGGTGCCTTACCTTCTTGATATGTAGTCTTATTCTAGATATTTAGATGACTGAGAATACATTAAAAAAAAAAAAGTGGAAGAAGATACTGTGGATCTGGTGTTTTCTCTCAAAAATCTACAGTGTAAAATTCTAGGTCCAGAATTTCCAGTGTTTTTAAGCCTTGCAGGCGTCAGCTGTACTGTCATTTTTTTGTATAGCACAATAAAGTTGTTTAACTGACCTGGTATATCATGTCCTGAAATCTCTTAAAATAAAGATTCTGAACAGCTTTGTATTTATATTTAGTGTCAAGTGGCATTGAAGAGTTTTCAGAATTTGTCGTACTGAGAAATGATGAGTTAAATTTATTGAGTTACCCATAAATCAGCTAGAGCATATGTGAAACATTTCTCCATGCTATAATAAAGGTACCAGCAGATAAAGAACCAAACAAATGTTTATACATCCCAGGGAAAGTCTGATTACTTAAAATAAATATGTCTGAGGGTGTGAGTACCATTGGCAGGCTTCAACAGGACTTCAGTATTAGTTGACAGAAGGGACTCTGGGGTTTCACTTCCAATTAGATCATAACTTGCACAGTGTATAAAATGAGAGAGCAACAGCTGCAAAGAAGTGCTGAAATACAGGAGGAAGAGTAGTAGGCTATAGGCACCTGGGTATCTGGCAATATAAAATGCACTCCCCTTTAAGAAAGAATTCTGTTTCCTTCTTACAAGAGAGACAATTTTAAATGTCTAGTAACATTTCTGTAAGTTGTATTTATATTAATATGTATTTTTATATCTTTCTGTAGGCAATCAAAAGTCCAGAGGATTTGATTTCAAAGCACACCACAAATTTCAAAGAAAGCAAATCTACATGAAGAGCTACAAAGGGAATTGATTTGAGAAGATACAACATTTGCAAAAATGTCTTCAAGTTGTGTGACTTCAGTGTTTGCTTTGATGGTTTTGTGCTTTGCAGCTGCAGGTAGGTGGTATTATGTAAATTATGCATTCAATGTAACCTATTGTACAGCTTCAGAATTGTTTATCAAAAATACTTTTTCATGCTGGAAAAATGTAGGTCAGCTAAAGTTTATGTTTATATCTAGGTTTTACATAAAACTATTGTGATTATAACTGCATCATATATGATGTGAGAAACAATGCTGTTCCTATAAGAATGGTTTTTTGCACCTGTGTTCACCCTTAAAATAATTTAAGAACTGCAGTAGTAATGTAAGTCATTTAGGTTATTTACCTATTTATTTAAAGAAAGAGAACTGCATGGTGCACGGATGTAGGGTAGGGTTGCTATGGAAGCCTTTGGGAGTGGAAGCAGGGTAGCTCTGCCAGCATGAGAGCCAGGGTAGCTCTATCAAGAGGCTAGATTTTATTACCCCAGGTGCAGGGTTGTGCTAGTGAAGTTGAGCTAGAGTCTCTCTACAGAGCTGAGCTGAAAGGGTTTACCAGCTCCATTCCAGCTTCAAGACCTATAATCTGGAATTAAGTCATGATTATTTGACTTCATAAAAAGAAATGTCTGACAGAATCCCAGAAAAGTTCATAATAGGTCACTCAGTCCATCCATCCTTCCTGCCTTGTTGGGATAAACCTCACCTTGGTCATTCCTGAGAGTTGTCTAATCTGTTTTATAGTGAACTATCAGTGGTGATGGCAAAAACCTTTTAATAAGAGTTGTCAGTGTTGCTGGAGGTCTTGTAGTTAGGAATATGCATTGCTGTTTGTGGGGATTTCTCTGTCCCAGTTTTTGGCCTATGGATTTTTTAAAACAGTATGTTGCAATAACTTGTGACGGAGAAAGGAAAGATCTGTGGAGTTCAAGTACCTAGTTTATACTGTAGTTTCTTCAAGTGCTGAAGTGATTCTTCTCAGTATGTTTGTTTGTCAGAGTTCTTTCTGTGGTTGCAAGGGGAAGCCTCTTATGTTTCCAGCTTGCATACAGTGTGGGTCATTGGAGAAGATGCCAAGTGGATACACAGTCAGTCAAAATGAGATAGTGGGAAAAGTGCACAGTGGACAGATGGCTTGCTTAAATCTGAGATGTCCTCACTGTGGAAAAGATGACCAGCCTTGGAAGAGACAGGGCTGAGCAATTAAATGTGTTACAATTTGGCTTCCTTTCATCATCAGTGTGGAAAACTGTTGTTTCAAGCCCTCAAGCCTTGTGGGACTTTCTCTGGGTTTGACCTCCTGAGGGCATCCATCCAACATTAGTAACTTCGATTGTTTAACCGTACGTGATGGTAACGTTTTGCAATAGCTTCGTTACAGATGAACTCTCAGGGCGTGTCTGAGTGTGTCTGTGGCTGGAGCCAAGGACTTGAATGCTGGTCTTGGCTGAGAAGAGCCATTACTTGGAGCAAATCTGAATCATTATAGATGTGTAAAAATCTCCTTTAAAAGGAAGTGCCGGTGTAGAAAAATAAAAGCTTTTTTAATTTATTACAACCACAATTCTGTTTTGCTGCTGAGGAAATGGCTTGCCTAACAAGTCAGCTTACCTCTTTATGCTTTAATTAAAACACATTAATTTAAGTGTTATCAAACACAGTACTACTGTTAGAAAGTTTTTCAGTGTTCAGAAACCTTAATGTGTCTGTCTTGAAATTTATTGTGGGTTTGTTTTTTTTTTACTCCCCAATTCTGTGTTTTCCTCTGGCAACTGTTCTTGAAACAAACTCTTATAAAGCCTTGGATTTGATCAAATGCTTATTCATAAGTAGAGTTACAGAATTATTTTGGCTGAAAGGGACCTCTGGAAATCTAGTCCAGCACCCTGTGTGGAGCAGAGCTAGTTTCAAATTATTTTTTTCTTGGAGACTGATTCTTCCTGCTGTCTGCATGGGAAGAACATAGGTGAAGGGAGTAGAAAGGGTCGCAGTTGGTTAGGGGAAGGTGGGAAAGCTCTGTCATTGTGGGTTTTGGTTTTCCTCCATGCTTTTTATGTTCTCAATAAGTTCTTAATGAGAACATCTAGTTAGTGTCCTTTACAGTGTATAAGGAGTGCAGTAAGATAAGAGCAATAAAGAACTGAGGGACTTCAATGAAGAGGAGAGAGAGAGAGAGATGTCAGGCAGATGTAATTAAAACTGAGGAAGGACAGCTGAAGGTTATTTAGGTAGAGCTTTTGGAACTTTCTTGAGTCCTATTAACGCAAACAGTTATACTTTAAATGCAGGAAGTTTGTGGCTATAGGTGAAACACGGGTGGGAGCAAGCAATGGGTTGTGTGGAAAAAGCTGTGGCAGAGGCCCATGAGCAGTGGGCAGAGTGATGATCAGGCTTGGCTCTTAATTACCAGTGTACAGAACCCGTGCTCTTTCAGTCTTGAACCATTAATGTGCTAGTATAAATAAAACTAGAAGTCTAAATAAAGCTAGGAAGTATAAATAAAATCTCTGCGTGCTTGTGGTGAAGCCTGGGGGAGGCAGGGGGCAGCATGCCACCTCCCTAGGGTATTGATTTTTGTATATTAAGCCTTTTTCCAGCTTACTCTTTGTTTCTGAAGAAGTGAGGCTGCTGCAGGAAAGCACACCTTTCTTTTGTTTGCCAGTCCTACACTGGCTCTGCTGCAATTGTCTTGGGGTTTTTTGCTGACTTTACAATATCTTCAGCATTCTTATCTTTTCAGGTATAGGTGAGCTTCTAGACAGAATCTGTATTTAGTTTATTTCTTTCTATTCTTGCTTTTTAAGGTACTAATCTATTAAATATATATCAAAAAACCCCCAAAACCCTGGAGTTTTAAGACATGATACACAGACATGGATATTCAAAGCTGAACCACAGATCTGCATGTTTTTTGTGCTAATACTTGAAAAGTACACCTCACTAACTGCATTGAAAGTGGTCTGTATAAATATTCAAATAATGTTTGTTTTTCTACCTCCTCATACTGCCTGGATGTATGTAGCTAAATGCTAATCTGAATCTGATTAGCTTTTATCTTATATACGGATTTCTTGTAAGCTTGTATTTATACAGCTTCAATATAACAGAAAAAGATTACAAAGAAAACCTTGATTACTGTGAGATTTTTCTTCATGAATAGTCCAAGGCAGGATGGAGAGAAGAACTGCTGGCAAACTATCTGCCTCAGTGAAGGAATTATGTTTTTGAAGTGGGCTTAAATTAAGGTCTGGCAACCTACAGTAGGAACTCCACACAAAAACACTCAGAACTGTACACACTACAGCCTTGGATAACCTCATAAGCAAGTCTGGCTTTTTAATCTTGGAGCAAAAATATGCTGTCCTAATGTAGCTTAAATCAAAGGCTGAAACATATTTATTTTACTTGCTGGCAAATTTGCGCAGTTGGGTGCACGATGCATGTCTTGATGTCTTAGAGGACAGCTGAAACACGTATCTGCCCTAGACCCTGAGGGCCAAACCTTCAACAGGACAGGTTCTTCCATGAAGGAATGGGAACAGTTTTTAACTTGAACTTCTATTTTTCTTTTTTCTTTCCTGCATTACTATTCAACTGGAAAGAGGACAGAAGGGTGATATAGCCTGTGGATCTACACTGGCCGAAGGTCTCATTCCAGCCTTCTGGGCTAGATCCTCTGGTGGTGCAACTCATTCCCGCTGCTGACAAAGCAGCGCAGCCATGGCATCTGAAACCAACCAGAATTTGCCCATGTAGTTATGTTCACTTTTCTTCAACCCCCCTGACATTGGGTATTGCCTGTGCTTGCCTTGTAGACGCCTCTCCCCTTGTGACAGAGTTTCATGGTTGTGATCAGGCTGATGTCTTAAGAGCCTGATGTCTTAAGAGCCTGATGTCTTAAGAGCCTGATATCTTAAGAGCCTGATGTCTTAAGAATTGGATATATTGAAGATTTTACCCATTTTCTGTAATACTGAGCTTACTGACTGGTTTATCTGCTCGTGTTAGGTCTGTCTCTATGGTTTTCTTTCAACAGCTCTTTGGTCCCTGGTTCTCTATTGTATTGTTATCCTAGCTTTTTTTTCCTTTCTTTTTATGTACTTGTTCTTATAAGTAATCTCACATTGGTCAGAGCATGTGTGCTTCATTTTCAATAAGACTGTTCACTTATAAGATGTATCTTTTGGATCTGTGCCCCCCAGATATGGTGGTGATGGGTGCCATGTTAATAAGTATAACAACAGGAAGAAAGACCTTGTCATGACATCTTTTTTTTTTAAAGACGAACTTCCCCTGACCTTGAACACTGTGTTTCAAAAAGCAATATAAAATCATTCAAAGCATAACAGAAAAACCTTCCACTGGAAGTAGAAATTTTAAAAATTTCATATTAAAAAAATGAAATTAATACCAATTAAGTCACTCACACAAATTTCCTTCTACTTTAAACAGTGTTTGCTGGGTATTTCCCAGATGTAATTAAATTGTAATTTTTATTTTTTTCTCCAAAGTATTTGTTGCCAGATGTGTGGAGTTTTTTTGTTTAAATTTTGTTTAGAGGATGAGAACCAAGGGACAGAGGTTGGCTCTTGAATTTTTAGGACTGAAGTAAAGCACAGGCTGGTTGCAGCTTCTGCATGGATAGAGATTTGACTCTGTACCTCCCTTTCCTTTTACCTCTTTCTCATAATCAGCTGGTTTCTGCCTCCCTTGTAAAACCACCCACTGGTATACCTTTATGGTCTGCTTAGCCAGACTTTTGAGGATGAGATTAACCGGGATTTGGAACATTTGAAGACTTGCAATCTCAGAGGAGAATTAGAGGAACAGAGGGCTGGTTCATGCTGTGCCATCTGCCACTGCCATGCTCCATGTCGGAAAGGCTGGGAGCCCCCCTGCAGAGGCTGCAAGGGAATGGTCATGCTCTTTTCAGGAGAGGCTAATGTGCTCTCAGTTCTGAGAAGTACTGTTTAGGAACCCCTGACTAGCTTTTAAGGTGGAAATTGTTCTATTTTTTAAATATTCTTTCAGCACCCTGATGGTGATTTGAAGCATCTTAATATCAGACTGTTCA